TTTAGTAGTAACAATCAAATATTTTTCATTTAATCATGTTTAATAGACCTCGTCTTACTCAGTGTTAAATGAAAGTAGCGATATACTATTAACTGTTGAAAACAGTTATTATACTTGCACCCTGTATAATACCGTCACTATAAATGTTTCCCATACCTAACCCTTTTTGATAATTATAAACCCTTTATCCTTCATTTAAGCCATTCAATATTCAAGCACTCCCATTTACCAAATCCTGTACAAATCCATACGTTTCGCATTTCGATAATAACAATAATCGTCCCTTGATCCCGAAGCATAAGAGCGATGGTTTGTTAACGTTAGACCGCGTACATATAGGTGTGGGGGTTGTAGTGTCCAGTTCCCTGTTCCCGTACGTTGCCTGGGATTAAAATCCCGAATCCAGGGATTGCCGGAAGTGTGAAATGCTGGCCATTCGGGATTAACTAGCCAGAAAGTCTTTGTGCATATTATATCAAAGTTGATTTCGTAATTGGTCTTCATTAACGAACTTGCGAAATGGAATAGAATAAAAACTTGTCTTTTTTTAATGCAGGTACTTATTAGTGAGTTAGTCTTAAAGGGAATACATTTTAGAAATAATTTAATAAATCCAAATGTACACGGATAAGTATACTTGCTTATTAGTTAGGAGCCATGACACAAGGTTTTTCGTGAGACCTTAAAACGAATCGGAATTTTTAATCCTATTTATGTAGAAACAATCAATAGAAGTCTTTAGTTTTCTAAATAAACCTTCATTTACCTATTTATAGTTTATTTGAAAATGAATGAGCAAAAAATGTTTGACTCAGGAGATAAACCCCAATATATCATCATAAATCAGTGACGGAGAATTTCTAAAATAAAATGTTTAGCATTATTTGTTCCGAAATAAAATCTTTGGTTTTCTTCCTAAAAGTTTTAAAAATACCAATTTATTTCAATTCTTGTCATTTTAATCAACAAAAATAAGGTAAGGTAAGTATGTTATCCCTACAGGTAGAAAATATGTACTAATTTAAGTAGGCCTCAACTTTCTTAAGAGCGCTTTTCACGGCGCAATTTTGTTGCAAGTTTCATGCTATGCAAGATTGCTGCCATATCTTGTAAAAGGACAAATATATGCTTCGTTCTCATGGTGCAAGTTTATGAAGATATATTGCTTATTTCAACAATTCTCTCAATCTCAATCTGACTTCTGTTGGTAAAACCTAACCCAACTTTTTTGTTTATTGTTAATTGTAGGTATTTTTTTCGTAATGGCACTTGAAATAAGACAGAAGAGTCCACAAATTGATCTATTATTATTATTAACATGCGCAATTACAAGTACCTATTTTTATTTACTTTCTTACCTTTTTCGGTTTGGACATGATTAAATATAACCTCTGGCAAAAATTAACAAAGCCTCTAACTTAAGTGATGCGTTATAATTTGTAATTGTTCGTCGTTGGTTTGTATTTGTAATAAAACTATTAGCAGTTGATGCCAAGATAAAATAAGATATAGAGTTAAAAAATAGTAACTTTTTCATTTTGTTATCTCACAAATCACTATAAAATTGCGTCAAATTTGCTCGGAAACTATAAAAAAGTAGAAAAGTTTTATTTATTTTATGGCATGAAACTTTCGTCAAACATGCCCGTAGACATGCGCAGTAATTACAAACTTGCATAGCATGAAACTTGCAACAAAATTGCGCCGTGAAAAGCGGCTTTTAGAAAGGATTAAAATTTATAATCGGCAGAAAGTGTTATGCAGATTATACATTATTTTAGAGATTTACATTTCTGTTTGTATAGTCTTGTGATTGTAACACGCAGAATTGTTAGTTCAGTAATAATAGGCGATAATAAGCGATACTGATTAAGTAAATTTGTGTAATAAAAATGGCACAAACGTCTAATTATACTCCTGTAAAACTAAAATGCAATTTAACCGTGCATATGAAAACTTTAGTGTTAAATGTAGGTACATGACGCTCTTGTACATGAACATTTCAATAGTACTGTTTGGAGTATAGTTTCTAAATGTTGAAATACGACCGGAGTTGGAGAAGCAATCATTTATAAACTTTTGAAGGAACGAAAGGATGGAAGTATTACAGTAGCACCTGGGAGAAAACCCATTCAAATAGACGGTACTATGAAACAACTGATCCGAAGAAAAGTGCATTCGTTTTATTTATAAAAAAAGATACCTACTTTGGATAAACTTTTAGTAGACATTAATGGAGACAAAACTTTGCCAAACGTTAAAAGAGACAAATTGTGGAAGACTTCACATGAATTAGACTTCGTTTGGGATAAGAACGACAGAAAATCTGCGCTCTTAGAGAAAGATGAAATTATTTGTTGGAGGAGGCAATATTTAAGGCAAATTAGCAAATTAAGAAGAGAACACAAAAATATTTTTTATTTGGATGAAATATAGATAAATGGAGGACATTTTGTAAAACAAACAGGTTACAAATGCCAGTCAGGCATTTATAGAAGGTTTGTCTACTGGCTTAAAATTTCCAAATGGTAAAGGTAGCCGTTTAATTATCACTCATACTTGAGGAGTAAAGGATTTGTTGATAAAGGCTTGTTAGAATTTGTTTCAAATTCTACGAAAGACTACCATGAAGAAATGACTGCTGATGTTTTTAAGAAATATTTCAGTCAAATGATAGATTGATTACCGACCAATTCTGTAATAAGTAGTTATGGACAATGCCAGATTAAAGTAACTGTTACCTAACATTAAATAAAAAAAAAATCTTGGATTGGCTAATAATCAAAGAAATAGTGGCAGTTATGTAAACAACATTCACCAAAATTTAAGAAGTATAGTGTAGATGAAATAGCAAAAGAACATGGAGCTAAAGTGTTGAGGTTACCACCTTATCACTGTGAACTTAACCCCATTGAACTAATCTGGGCTCAAATGAAGGGATATGTCGCGAGAAATAATACAACATAGCAGAGGAAGAGAAATTCTAGAAACTTGATATGTTAATAGAGGAATCAATAGAACCAGAGATATAACCGTTCATTGATAAAATATAATATTCACGATGCCAAGATTAATTCGGCAATCAATATACAATCTATTTGTAGGCACGCGGCGAGGAGACGAAAAGTGAGAAGTAAGGAAGTAAGAGAGGGGATAAAGAGAAGAATTTTACGTAGATACAACATGCCGTTGTAAGCCCTGTTGCTACTTCCAACCTAACATGACTAGGTTTTGGAATTTATTTATTTTCATTTATAGGCCATCCATTTCTTCATGGTAGTCTTTTGTTTTCTTTGACTCAAACATTAACAAACCAGTGGCGTAGCCACAAGGGAGTTTGGGGGGTCAACCCCCCCCCCCATGGAGGGTGCCCGCATCACAATTTCTGCTATAGTATTGGCACTAATCGCTATTGACTGTTTTTATTCACTTCCTTGATAGAACCCCCCCCCCCCATAGTTCTCAAAAACCCCTGCCATGAAAAATGGCTGGCTATGCCACTGTAATAAACCATCTGGCAAAAATCTATCGGTGCTTCTTTTTCCTGTTGGATTTTTTAATCCACAAGAGACCCCTTCCATAAAGACTTGTTTTTTTAGTTTTGATTGAGGTATCTTGCCAAATTTTATATGTTACTATATTTCCAGCATTAACTCATGTTTCATCTAAATAAAATATTTGTTTATACTGATTTGTTGCGTCCGCTGTTTTCCTTAAATAATCATCTCTCCACGCAATGATGTAGTCTTTCTCTGTTAAAAAGCTTTTTGTATTACGTTTTTTGTAACGAAAATTTAATTCATGCAATATTTTTTGCAGATGAAAGTATTATACATTTGGAAAAGTGGGGATATTTTCTATTTTTGAGTGTAATTTTTTAAGTGTAGGAATTTCACTTCGAAAGAAAAAAAAATGTACCATTTGTTTGTCTTATTACATTCTTTACCCAAGTTTCAATAGAGGTCTTGTTTCTTCCTGGGGGCTTTTTCGGATGTAAGTCTTCTCCAATAACTACACCGGCACACAAAAAAAAATTGTCAGTACTTTTGACAGGACCAGTATATCTTTGTGTTTCGACCCGCTGAATCCGAATCTGAGGTCCGTTTGACCCGTACACCATAAAATTTTCGAGAAAACTTTGAAAAACCGAAAAAAAATGACAAAGACCTATTTAATGGTACCTGAGGGACGAATCTAATTTTTTAAAATTATTTTTAAACGAAATAATAATTAAAAACCTTCCCGATTCGTTTTGTCTTTTTTCAAAATAATCTTCACAATATTTTTCTGCTCTCGTTAAATTATTATTTTTAATAGAGATTTCTTTAATTTCCCAAAGTTTAGTAACGATCTTGTCAGTTAACTTCTTGCAAAACATGAAAACACGATATATTTGGCTCTCCTAAGTTTAAATTCAATTCTCCGTCCAGAATCCACCCGAATTTACTATTTTGCAAAACTATATGTTGTTAACCTTCAGAGATACATGACCAAAATACACTCGAACATAACTTACATGTCGATGTCATTTGAAATATGTAAATTAGGATTAGTCAACTAATTGTATAATATCGGGAATAAATAATGTATCTTTCTTAAACGTAAATGCGCGAATTTTACCTGTTATTTCCGGCACAATTTAACAATAATTTATGTCTGCATTGTATTCATTATAAATTACATTTGTAACAAATGTCATCTGATTTTTAGTTAATGTTCGACTTTTTGCAACACCCTTTATTATGTGATCTACCTTTTTTTGGCTGTATATTTAGTCTGTTTACTAATCTTTCAGATATAAAATGGCTTTGTGTTAAACAAACAAATTCTTTACCATTTTTTATTCGAATTATTGCAGTGGATAGCAAAATTTCGGAACATCCGCAAAACATTGTTTTAGCTAGAGTAGCACAATTCGTAGTCGGTTAATTGTTACCTATCGCTGTTGCCAGAGTATTAATCTTTTAGCTAAAACAAAAATAATACTGAAATAAACTTACCCGACATACATCCCAATTCTGTTGAATTACTATTATGGTTATTGTTACTTAAACTGGTATTATTGTTACTCTCCGCGCTAGGTGTGTGTCCCGCCGTCGGAGGAGTTGTCTTCTCCATAGCGTCGTGGTCTTCTTTACAATAAAGAACTCCACCGTCTCTTAACGCGAACTCGTCACCGGGTACAAGTTGCCTGGTACACGCACGACACCTAAAACACTCTATATGGTAAATTTTGCTTTTAGCTCGCATCACAAAGTCGCTTTTGCTGAAAGACAGGCCGCACTTGTCGCACTTGGTACCGAATAACCTGCAAAAAAGAAAAAAAGTGTAACTCGACTTGGTAAAAGTCATATCTACTTATTGAAGTAATTATTACGTAAAATTGACTAGAAAAATATACTTCCAATTTAAATTTACCAAATGGTTTTATTTTATGTTTAAATTTACGTAAATTATACCGAGAAATCTACCTCGTACACATATCTGCTAAGTAACTTTAACCAAATCAGAGAGGTAAATTTCCTTTGAAGTAAAATTAGGTGCCATAATTAGGTAACATCTAATTATTTGGCAACTAAAAATCGTCTTTATAGTAGAATGTCCTACAAGGTAGATTTGGTTAAAAAATGTTCGTAACTTTTACCTTTATAGTAACCTATTTGCATGCTTTATTTACTCTACTTTAAAGTAATATTAGGTCGACATCGTAGAAAAATTATACCTTGTTTATCTACTTAATTTCAACCAAATAGTCGATTACTCATTCATCTTACCTAAAAGTTGTAACATTTTAAAATTTCTTTTAAATTAAAAATGTTATTTTAATTGTGTTACATCCTGTATAAAATAGTATTTGAGTAATTTGGGATTTAATTATCAGCGAAAGCAATATGCCTAGAGGGGGAATTTCTCTAGGTGGGGATCTGGCTGGCTCTCGATTTTCGAACCTTTTCATTAAAATTTATTTCGACGGCATATCTCTAAGTGCCAGCAGTGTAGTTACTGTGAAAATAGCGGTGAGTTTAAAATGTCATTAAAAAATATATCTTCTTGTTACTGATAAATATGCCTTGGTAGGTAATTCGTTTTGGTTGGTAATTCATTTTGGTTGGTGGAATTGCACATTGTTTATATTAATTAGTTTTTTATTGTTATCTTTATTTAATTTTAAAAAGTAATTGTTTAAAAGTTAATTTATATATATTACAAGAGCTTCGTGTTTAGGAAGCGAATGTAAGCAGTTTTTTTGTTTTCCTTCCTAACTACCTAAGTTCACTGCTATTTCTACTCAATTCCGACATCACAGAGCTTTTTCAATTTAAGCATAATTGATATTGGTGTTTGAGGCTCGTGGAGCTACTGATGCTACTGATGAAGACGATTTTACAGTGTTAGATGGAGATGCTCTCTTGTTCATTGCATTTATTTAATTCACGACTGAGAAAACCATATATGGTCGATGTGCTCATTTCTTTTTTGATTTGACTAAAGGTAAGTAATGTTTGGTGTTAAATTTCTATGAGCTAGTCAAAATTTCTTGTGTTTTCAGAAATAACGAATTTTATTGAAAAATAACGTATTTTATTACAAATTAACGCAATTATATTGCAAAGTAACGCATACATATTGCAAAATCACCCTGAAGAAATAGTTATTAACTTCTTTGTAGCAATTATCCTAAAAATCTACTACAAAGTAATTTCGACTATAAACCACCAATTTAAAAACTATATGTAACCTTTTTGTAAAATTTATATTAACAATTAGGTTGTTCACTTATTGTCTTCGTCATTATTCTTAGGAATGTAAGCCATTTTAAAAAATCGTTACTTATGGTAAACTTAATTCTCTTGTGCAGGGCCGACAAGAGGGGGGGGTAGTCGGGAGTAATTCTTCCCAGGGATAAAGTGGGGGCATGGCAGCGGCATAAGGGGGACCCGGCAACTTTGGTGAGGATGTTCTCTACTTCTTCAGAAGTTCGGCACAAGAGGGGAAACTTTTTTTAGAGATTTAGTAAAGAGGAGAAGTTTTTGCTTAAAGACCTTTTTTCTTAGAGAGATTCAGTAAAGAGGAGGAGAAGACCTTTTTTTTGTTAGAGAAATTCAGTAAAGAGGAGAAGTTTTTGCTTGAAGACCTTTTTTTAGAGAGATTCAGTAAAGAGGAGGAGAAGGTTTTGCTTGAAGACCTTTTTTTAGAAATGTTATATTAAAGGGCCAAATTTTTTATAAAATTGTCGCGGGGCCCGACCTGGAGAATTGTCCCGGGGCCCGACTTGGCTCTCGGCGGCCCTGCTCTTGTGGTATAAAGCTATAAATGAATGCAAACAATAAATAATATCGTTACACTTCATAAAGTCAAAGTTTAAAATCTCAAGTGCAGTATAACGTGAAAAATAAATTACTCCAGTATCCAGTTTGTCAACACACGTTAAATAAAAATGTACACTAATTTACCAATAAGTAGCATTTCCAGAAATAGGATGACCCAAATATGATGACCTAAATATGTTATATTTACCTACAGGTAAATTTTTAATAAAACTTACAAGTTATTAATTCTTTAAATAGGTAAAGTCATCTACTAGCGTGTCGTAAACTTTAAGCTAATAAGCTAAAACTTTTTAATTTTCATCACCTCCCCTTTCTCTTCTTATGTCGAATGTCTCTTGCAGAAACAGAAAACCCTATTGTCGGGCCCCCATTTGAGCCCGGGCCCCGGGAATTAGTCCCGGCTACCCCCCCCCCTCTAGTCGTAATTCAACTTAGTCAAAAGCTATTTGTAAAATAGGTAGATTTCTATAGTCGTATTAACTTTAAAGTCGAATTAGATCAATAAGCCATATTTTCTTTACAAAATTGAAGTACGATTCCAAAATTCGAATTTTTAAAATTAACTAGAAAAACTGATGAAAATTACGAAAAAAACAACATTATTGATTTTCTAAAGTGATATACAAAAATTGTAACATAGTTTTAGCTCATAATGGGGTCTATTATGTAACAATTCCTTTATATTTAACGGCCTTTAAAAATATTGGCGGCCTTTAAAAGTATATTTGTATTCGTTAATTTACTTCTGTCATTATTTAAACAGATTTCTTTAAGATAGTCCTCTAATGTATTTTAAAGATCCGTTTAAATAGTGACCGAATTAAAGAAGAAAATATTTTTAAAGGCCGTTAAATATAAAGGAATTTTTACAGAATAGACCCAATATCATTATAATTTTTTTATATCATAATATTTTTTCGTATATTTTTTCATATTAAAGAGAATTTTGGAGGGGCATGGTTATTTTTCAAAGTAGAACTGTTAACATGCACGACAAAATTTCCTTCGCATTAATTTCAACAAGCGTGACCTATTGATTTGTCGGTATTACATTATATATATTTTTGTTACAGACATTTATTTATTTTCATTCTTTGCTGTTTTAGTTGTGTTGGTCACTTCCTACAGTATTTCCATTTTTATAGACAAAAATACCAAATAAGTATAAAATTTATCTTTTTGTGCACTTGGGGTTATTTGTCATTTGAAAATGTTTGTAGTTTCTACCAAAAGCTGGTTAAATCAACGTTGAATTGACGGTATACTGACGTCAAATTTCCCTAAAGAAGTATTACTAACCAAACGTACTGGGTTACTACAATGTAGAATTAGGCGTAATTCTATCTATTTTGGTCAATAAAACCAAATTTCGACGTCGCCTTATTCTCCACTTATGTCGAATCCATGTCGAGCCAACGTAAATTTTCCTTTAACATGGTTAAATCTAATTTTGCGAACAAATTTATTTCATATATATTTTAGGTAGTCTTGACGTCAAATTAAACCAAAATGTTTGCTGGGGTTAGGCCAGCCCTAGATGCAACAATGTGCTTGTACGTTATAAATGCACAAGCATAACGATGCAAGCCAAACTGAGCGTAGTAGAGGAGTTTGCGCCGTCATGTAGTACGAATAGCAGTTTGTGCAAGTGGCATGAGCAAATCGGAATTGTCGAACATTTCGCAGTTGTCACCCATTGGTACAAACAAGATTGAACGTGTATGATAGTTTGCATGTGAAAACTAGACATGATATCTAGCACAAACAGGGAATACAAGGTTTTAGATATAAATGACTTGCACGGTGTAGGTACAAGCTTCAGTTTGCAACGTAATGCTTGTGCAATGATAACCTTTTCATTAATTCGTTATTTCTGTCCTATATTCCTCATAGAGACTTACAATACTTATACTCTTCACACAGTAAACTGTAAAGACTCTTCACAGCTGCACTGAAGAGTATTATGCGTTTACTTTCACTCGTCCGTCCATCCGTCCCTCCGTCCGTCCATCCGTCCGTCCGCCCTACCGCCCGCCCGCCCGTCCGTCCGTCCGCCCTACCGCCCGCCCGCCCGCCCGTCCGTCCGTCCGCCCGCCCGCCCGCCCGTCCGTCCGCCCGACGTCAAAAAGCCTATTGATTTTGAAAAAATCTGAATAACAATGGAGGGTTAAGGGGGTTAAAATTAAAAAAAAATCATAAATCAAAAACGAAAAGCGATATCAACATAAAATTTTTAGTCAAGCTCTATAAGAAGATGAAGCCTATTAATTCTGAAAAAATCCGAATTAAGTGGGGGTTAAGGGGGATATTAAATTTCAAAGCGTCTTAACAAACCATTTATTTTTTATGAATCGCGCATCTTCTCTCAATTTGTAGATCAGTATTATATCATGTTCTCCAATTAAGAACCTTAAAACAAGTAGTTTGTGATCAATCATCTGAAGAGAGTTTTTTTGGAAAAAAAATGTTTTATCATAATTTGCTGGAGATCTAAATATAAAACTCTTAAGTCGATATTTTTTTGCTACCCACCATCAAAAATTAAAAATCATGCTGCTTTTCATTTTCGCTATCACCCAATAGAGAATATGGGTCATATGACCTAGGTCCCCGTCACAAAGTGATCTGACCGCCACTGGTTTAACGATTGTGAATTGTTTAATGAGACAAACTATTTGTAATTATAAGAAGGTACGCATATTATCATATTCATGTGTGATCAATCAACTTTTTAAAAAAATCATGATGTTTTTGTTGGCTCTTGCGGCTGTGCCAAAACAAAACACCCGTCTCTCTGGTGGCCTCCAGGTGCTGCATATCTTCTTCTAACCTTTGGGGACTAAAATATTAGGTGTCTGAAATGTTTATCTAACACTACCGCACACAGAGGGTCGCGCCGGTTTTGAAGTTTGATTTTGACATATCCGGTATTTGTTTGGGTATGTTTTGATTATTTCATTGTACATTGCATTTGAAA